TGATATCATTATAGATGTCATGATCGGTAGATAAGTATTTTGAAAAAAATGCTAGCTACAGAGATCAAAATCAAAGGCCTTGGTCCTCTCAAGTATTTTGTTGGGAAATAAATTAACTTGAAAGAAATATACTATTATCATTTTCATTGGAAATATGTTCTAGATATTTTAAAAGGAATTGGTTTGATTGGGAGGAAACATGTAGACACTCCAACTAATCCGAACTCAAAACTAAGTGGTCTATGAAAAGGGAAGATATCAAAGATTAGTTCTGAAACTCATCTATTCGTTTGATGCCAAACCTGAATTTGCTTTTTGCTATTTGCATGGTAAGCTATTTCATTCATTCATCTCACAAAGAACTCATGGGTACTACCATAAGTATACTCATACTTCAAAGGGAACTTTGAAAGGGGACCATTCTTTGAGAAAGGTAAACTAAAATAATAGAAGTTTATGATGATATTGATTGGCTAGGCTTTGTAGATGACAGGAGATCTACGTTAGGGTATGACACTTACATTTGGATAGTTTTGTTACATGTAGAATTCAGAAATAAAATATCGTGGCAAGGAGTGGTGCAGAAGTTGAACTCAGATCCTATGCTAATGAGATTAGTGATCTAATTTGACTTAAGTTGTTCTTAGAAGAACTTCAAGTAATAGCCAAGAATCCTATGATATTATATTATGACAATAACATTGCTATCAGTATAGCACAAAACTTTGTCCATCATGATCAAACTAATCATGTGGAAGTAGATTGACATTTTATTAAAGAAAAAAATGCAAACCAGAGATCTGTGTGTTTTATTTAATCTTTTGTTCAAATTGTTGACATTTAGATAAAAGGGTTGACAATACCTCTATTTGAAACATTAAAAAAAAAGATAGACAATTATGTGATGTTTGCAAACTAGCTTGAGGGAGAGTGTGGAATGTCAGTGACATCTTTGAAAAAGAGAAAAAAAAAATAATTTAATTTGTCTTCTACCATTCTTGGAGTTTCATTTGATTGAAATCAGCACACAAATGGAAATATGGGTTGGTGGTTCTTTTTCCTTTGGAGAAATTCTTATCGGAGCTTCCAAGGCAATGGGTGGCCAGCTATAAATGCACTATTTTATGAAGCTCTCAAGGCCATTTGTTTTTCATAACTTCTCTATTAAAGTTTTCCCTCAACCTAGCACATTTTTTTGTACTCAATTTGCATTCATGTTTTTTAAATGATTTTTGTTTCTTTCTTTATTTTGTTTTACCTCCTATGTGAAATGAAAATTTTATATTAATGTCATGAAAATTTGGTTTGATTATTTTTGCAAAAGATCCAACTTAAAATTTGTTGTATTCAATTATTTTCTTTCTTTGATTGTTCACCTTTCGGGTTCTCTATATGAGGACCCTAAGAGCAAGCCATATAATTTTGATTGGACTTGATGATCAAAACAACACAACAATAAAGAAAACAATTACTTACTCCAAATAGATCCAGAAATAACACAAAGAGAGTTGTATTTACCAGTCTCCAAGCAAAGAAAGACTAGATACAAGTTGATTCACTGTTCGAGAGGTGAATCATCTCTCCCACAATTCCTAGCATCCACTATGAACCCAAACACCCAACAAAAAATGTTGTAGAAAATAAAACTCAACATAAACCTCAACTCTCCACAATCTCCTCCCTTAACAGCCCAAATCTCCTAATAAATGCCCTTTACATATTTCCCAAAGAATTTTCCCTCAAAGCCTCTTCTTCTCATATAAGTGATAAAGGAGGTCATCGGCCCCACCTGAGCAGCTGGGCTGCTGCCCGCCTGGGTAGCTGGGCTGTCAATAGCTGCCTCAAACTCATCATTTCCTATAATCTTGCTTCAACTTCTACATTTTTTAAATGTTTTTCATAGCTCTATTAACCTTATTCTAATTATTTGGTGTTGGCATTACTAATTATCATTTTTTATTTGTTCGTGCATAGTATTACATGAGGTGTGATATGTATTTGTCACACACAGCAAGGTGCCAACCTATGGGTTCCAATGAGAGGCAAATGAACAACTTCAATTCATT